TGCTGACCTCTAATACAGGCTCTTATCTGAATAAATATTGCGGTGTATATGGATGACGCACTGGCTATGAATCAGATAGAACGGACTGAAGCCGGGTGTTATCTATTTAATATCCACGATGTTAATTATTCCACCGAACTCGAAATAAAAACTAGACTTTTATGTGTATGACAGCTCTACATGTATGACGCACATAATTTTTTCTCCATAGAGTAAAATTGGTGTGATACATGTATACATGAAGAGCGCAGAAAGAGAGATTTTACTTTAAAAATAATGTCCAATTTAGGACATTTAGGTCGGACAGGTGATCTCGTAGCAATTAAGTCATCTGCTTTTGCTAGATGGAAGTTGGACTTAACTTCGACAAACAGAAACCACCTGTGACTGGGCATTGCGTTGTGAACGTGGCCAGTTTTCATGTAATTTTTAGTCATAAGCATGTTCGGTTCACAGTGAATCTATTAAAAACAAACTTTGTGGTTATTTTTCTTCTTTATTTATTATTTTATTCTGATATTTATTTATATACAGGAAATGCGGATTTATCACGTTTTTTTTCAAATGCCTCATACAAGTGTCATTAGGGATCAATTGTAAATTATATTGACAATACTTATAAAAATCAGGAACCATTATTTTTACTCCCAGGTATGACCACATATATACATTAAACCAAATCATTATTTACTTCGAGCTGTGACAATGCAATCAGCGTATTAAGGACTGCAAGGACGTTTGACTTGTCATGACTTGAAGATCACTGTAGCAAAAACATTGCCAATACATGTAATATTAATAAGATAAACAGAATGCTTCGATCAAAATGCAATGAAATTTATAACTATCATGTGTACTATCATTTTAAGTTCATATATCATGATGTGATTGTTGTTGGAAAATATGTGCCTCTGCATTGGTTTAATATATTTGTGATCATTGTACCATGAACATTTTAGTATCAATAAGTTCCGGCGGGATTCGGCGATGTTCACACCCTTACCTCCCTCTCTCGTCCCCCTGGGTGAGAATAACATCGACCTCTTTGTTTTTCAGTGCGTTCACCTTACGCCTTTTCTACTTTTTTCTATACAAATCACAAGGACCGTTATTATATTCCTAGTGACAAGATAACATAAAAATCATTACTTAGAACTTCTTACTTATATACATGTAACAAATCTTGGTGGATATTCTAAATAGGATTGAGTTTTTCTAAATATATATATAGCACACTCATTTAAACCAGACCTTTTCTTTTAGAAGTCATATTGTTTTCTGCAAAACTCCACGTTCGTTTGATATTCACATTGCGGTTCGAACACAATTATAATAGATCTTTAACAGGTGGTTGAGTAACATGTGGTATAGAACTTGATTTGTATAAGATAAGCTGCTTGTCCAAATTGGCTGAGTGAATAGTTTTTTTTACGCTCGTTTATATTTTAATATCATTTAATATAATTTAGACTAGCACGCTGGACTGAGACGCAAACGGTCCATCCTTTATCACAAAAAACGAAACAGATTCACTCAAACCTATATTCACTGATTGGGAGGTCAATATAAGATGATATTGATCTGCATGTGACGCTCCCGAGCAATCAGTGGGCGACAAAATTTGTGATCGTGTAATAATATTAAATCATTTATCACTCCCAGGTTGAAGTTCAAATTTAATGTCCTTTGTTTCGAAGCCATAATCTGTTAGAAATTGATTACATCTTGGACATAATAAGAGAAGGCCTTTCCTTTTTTATGTCCAAGCCCCCAATAAGTACATGTAATCTTGGACATAAAAAAGGAATTGGGGGTGACCACCATGAGGGGGTGGACTTGTGTCTTAATTAACCAATCAGTTTTTAAGGTATGAGATGGGCAGTTTAATTGATAACGCTTAGTATAAAAATCTGTAAACTAAAATCTAAGAGAAGACGAGAGAGAGAGAGAGAGAGAGATTATGCTTGTACCAAGAAACTTTAAGTGTAGCAAAACATATTCTGTTGAAGTTGCAACATGAAGTCGTTTCATTAGTTTCCGTGTGAAGAATTTAAGACATGGAACCTGGGGATCTCTGTAGCAGTATTACAGATAGCGATATCCAAAGATGTGAGCCCATTGTGCCTAACCCCTGGGGTTTTATTATAGAGAGTCATTTAATGTAATTTGGGGCCCCACAACTGGTTTCTTATTAAAGCACTTTTATTTTAGATGCAAATACTCCAAGCTCCCCGCAAACGCTGCGCTCTTTGCTCAGCAGAAGTGCCTCCCGGCCTGCCCCTAGCGGACGCACTGTGAACTGTGGGATCATGTGTTTAAGGAAACATTACATATTGTTGTTTTTTCTGATGGTAATGGATAACTGTGTACATTTTTGTTGACTTCGCTGGGGGCTGCCATTTTTGTTTGTCTTTCAACTGAACTAAAATATTTAAATGTTAACAAGAAAATATATTGTAACTTTGTATATTTCACAGTAATTACAAAAGTGTTTGTTAAGGGGCCCGCACACGGTGAGCATTTGGCGCGCGCCACTTGCGCTGCGCCAGAAGCTCGCGCTCCTCAGCTCCCCGCAAACGATGCGCTCTTTGCTCAGCAGAGATGCCTCCCGGCCTGCCCCTATCGGACGCACCGCGAACTGTAGGATCATGTGATTAAGGAAACATTACATATTTATTATTTTTTTTCTGAAAGTAATGACAAATGGTGACCACGTTAATCAATCAGACTACCTATAACTGAGTACATTTTTGTTTACTTCACCGGGGGCTGCCATTTTTGTGTGTTTCCGGCTACCAGCACATGCGCATTGTTGGCATGGGGTGAGCAATCGGCGCTTGCACCCCGCACACGCTGAGACATTTGCCTCAAGAGACCCAAAAAATCAAACACGTGAGAAATTTTGCTCAGCCGCGCGAGAGGCAAAAATCTCACCAAAATACCCCCGCACACGATGAGAAAACGGCGCAGCGCAAGTGGCGCGCGCCAGACGCTCACCGTGTGCGGGCCCCTTACATAACAACATTTACTGTGTAAAATTTTAATAACTCGCAATTTATTTATTCCTAATAGCACTACTACAACACGTGGGATCATTTATGATCTTTCATGACAAAAATATAGGAAATTATTATAAGACATCTTATGTTAGTCTTCACAACTAGAATTTTTGTCCCACAAAATTTCAATATTCAAAAATAACTAAAAACCCTATAATTACCTTCAAGTTTAGTACCTGTATAAGCAATAATCAGAATTATGTGCAGATTGAAACCCATAAAAACGCTTAGTTTTAATTCTACAGTTTCTTCAAGAAATGTGTCTTAATGCGTGTTTACGGCTAATTATAAGAAAAGTTTAAAAATACTGAACCTACATAATATGCCAAACACATGATCGATGACGTTGTATTTTAAATGTACAAAAAGCAAGTTATTTAATGTCCATACATTCCACCAATCCAACTTGCACACACATAGTGATATACTGATTTACACTTTATTTTTCAAAAAGACACTAAAATTTCATGAACAGCTCTAAGTCAAGTCAACAAAAAAGCTATCTAATTTTTAAATAAAAATCCACCTTATTCACCGATATACATGTACATTTTAGTACATAATATTTACACATACACTTAGCCACTGCACGTGTGTGTATGTGTAGTGAAAAAAAAAAGAAACAAACAAATCATTAGATGAAATACAGTACTACAATCAGTACACCATTTCATATCCAAATGAGGCTATATGTTTATGCATGTATAAATGAGTCAAAATATAATATCATACCAACATGTGTATTGACATGTTATGGCCCATAGCAATATGTACAGATGGTTATTGAAGGGAAAACTTCATTTTTCATATGTGAACGAGACATAACACATATGTTCATGCAGGTTTCCACTTAGAAGCTTTATGCTTAAAAGATATCATGTGACACTTGACAATTAAGACTGTCGTCTGGCTTTGGGAGACTCTTTTCAAGGTTATTCAACCGAAGATACCAAGATGATTCATGCTGGTAAGAGCGTACTATGGCTTCTATAAGCTCACTGAGGCGGTCAACTCTGCCCAGGTCATTCCAGGACATGTCAATCTCCATTCCAGTCTGCTGTGACACTGTACTGAGAGATTGTACCAATGCTATCAGTGGACTGGTGATACCGTGGTACTGACCCAAGTCATTGACACTGAATGAGAAGTCCTTCAGCTTAGTGGTGTGTATCACACCTTGGCTCAGTTCACGCACGGCTTTACAGACATCCTGACATCTCTCATAGTATGTTGTATCTTCACCCCTAGGACATGTACACCTGCCAGGCCCACACTTGGGTCCCCCCATGAATACACAGACCAGTCCCAGACGTTCCAGCCCTGGCACATGGTGAAGGTTCCTCCCAAGAAGCTGTACACCCACGGCACGAAGAGGGGTAAATCTAATGTCTATACGAGTTAAATCATGACTGGTAATAGGTATTAACCCCAGTTGAGGAGGTGGGTCTCTTGATAGGCCGCAACTTACGTTAATGCACTCCAAGTGTCCCATCTGTAGGATCACCTGCCAGTCTTGAACATTTATGTCTCTGACATCCAGATGTAACAGTTTTCCAGGGTTTGGTATTGATGATAATGCTCCACTGTAATTTGTAGTTATTACAAGTGTTTGAAGGTTAGGAGCTTTTGATATAACATGATTTAATGTATATGTGCAATCATCACAAGTGTGAGATAAACTCTTCCAAAATACCGCTACTAGTTCCTCGAACATGTCACACTTTCTGAGTAAAGATAAAAGTTTGTGCTCTATTTCTTGTCTTCCGGTATGTATATAGTCTGGTATTTCTGTAACTAACATGTCGTTGTCAAGACTGACAGCAATCAAACCTTTGAGCATACCAGAGTATATCTGAGGACTGGACAATAAACTGTCTACACTGTCATTCAAAACCTGCTGGAATCCGGGATCAGAGTGCTGAAATGATTCAGGTATGCAAAGCACCTTGTGGCAGGAGATAAGCTCAGGGGGCAGCACTGTTTTCTGGGGACAGTGGGCATACCAGTTTTCTAGGAGGAGATCATTAAACCACTGGCTGTAACTGCTATATACGTGATCGACCGAAAAAAGGCCAAGGGAATGGAAATACTTCGTTCTAAAAGGTTCAATGCTCACAAGTAGGGATTTCGCTCTATGTAGCACTTTGGTAGTTGCTCTCTTAGATAACCCAAACAAAAAGCGCAGCACAAAGCTCATGTCAAAGAGTTTGTCAGTGGTGTCTAAGTTTTCCAATAACTTATCTAAAATGTTACTATCATTTTCGTCTAATTTCCTCGCCAGGTATTTTGCCGCAAAAAACTCCTGAATTGTTTTGTGTGGAAAAGTTACCTCGTGTTTAACATCAAGGTTACTGTGAACCTTACACTTGCTAAGTAGACCTAAACTGTACAATTCGTTGACATCTGGAATCTTCTGCAGGTCTTTTTCATCAAATATGAGACACCCATCTGGTTTCACCAGTCCATCGTAAGCCAGCTTGCCAAGACTGATAAATGTTTGTTCTTCAAGATTTTTAACGCATGCAGACTGTTCCATTTCAACCTGTGTCCTGATGCCGTATCTTCGTCTTAAAAGCAACTGTATTAGTTTCTTGTATAGCAGTGTGTATGAAGCTGGGAGTGAATCTGTCTTGGCATCACTTTGTTGATCTTCTTGCCACATAAGACAAACAAACAGTAAAAGTATTGGAATCCTCACCAGAGACATCAGCTTCTTTTCCTCTAGGTAGCCTACGAGACCCTTCCCTATTGAACGCAATACATCCAGACTCTTTAAATAGGATTCTGACCTCAGTGCCAGGTAATCATCATATTTCTGTTTATCATTAAAGAATTTAGCAACATATTCAGCTATGTTGTCCTCTGTTAGCCCAGTTATTTCATACGCATCGTCCATCATTCGTCTGTTCATCAGTTCTTCTGCCTTCCACGGACGTGTTGTGATGACGGTGCACACATCTTGGTATTGTCTTCGGTAAATGATGTCTGTGATTTCTGTGGAGGTGTTGATATCATATTCATCATAACCATCAAAGACCAACAGAACATGCTCACTGTCATAGTCTAGAGCTTGCATGACTTCATCTGTCACTGCTTTCCTATTTTCTGCAGAACAAGTGATTTGTGTTTCCATTGCTTCCTTCAATGTTTGACCAGGCTGAACGCTGCGTAGATTTATTATTAAAACATGTTTATATCTCAAAAGGACTTCATCACATTCTCCTAAACCCAGTGTGGCATTTGCCCAGTCTGTTGCCATCTTTTGTGTAAATGTGGTTTTGCCAATGCCTGCTTTTCCTCTGACCAATATTCTCTTCGGTCTCTTCCCTTGTTTGGTGTGTAATATTGATGTATAGCTACGGATTGGATCAGAACTGGTACCTGCTGGTTTCCTTTCCTCTTGTACCCACTGCAGGTTAACATAGACGTCATCTAAGTGCATTGTGTCGTCGGGGTCCCAAGGAAGACGCTGTATTTGACTCATGTATTTTATGTAGAAAGACGCTAATTGGTTTTTACTACTGTATGCAGTCGCTTTGTCTGCTAGCTTATCTGCAAGTTCTATCTTATTGTGTTTTCTCAACACTTCAACAAATGTTTCAAATGCACGAGGACCACATTTCGGTAGAATACGAAGAAATTCAAAAGCTTGATCATTTTCTGTTTCTTTAGCCATTACCTTTTCTGCATTGTCTTTACTGAATATGTTCGTGGCTACCATGTCCTGAATGATGTCCTCAACGCGGAGATTTTCTACAAGCATTTGTCTCATTTTCACCAAAAGGTTTTTGTGTGTTGGTCTCATTATAGGTGCCTGGAAAATGGGGAATAAATTCAAAGTTTATTTAGATTACATTAGATATTATAACGTGGTATAACCAATAATTACATTGCCTCATATTCTACTTTTATTGTCAGCATTATCTGGCTGAAATATCAGTTGATTAGTGCGTGCAGTGTTAAAATAATCACGCAGGGTCTGCAGACATACAGCCCCTCACACTACAAACTGTCCCTACAAGAATGATGTGATTTTTTCTTCAGACAACAGCTAATATTGAGATAGGTTTTACTTCCAATAGTACCTCCAAACAGTCCCTACATTTATATATATTACATGGACATGGAAAATTAGGAACGTTTGACATCGTCATATTCAAACATTCATGAAATTATTAAGTAGTTATAACAAGATGTTGAGCACAATGTAGAGCGACATATATTACATGTAATGATGTACATTACCTGATAGCAGGTATCTGACCTCCTTGTTTTAAGTTTGGTGCCTGAAAAGAAACATATTCTATAGGAAAAACGGTATAGTCAATGTTATAAGTAAATATTTTTCCAGTCTTACTTATAATCTAAATGTTGACAAAAATAACATGATTGTTGTTAACAATGTAAATCACACTAGTATTCATTCATGTAATTATAGGACATTCTAAGCTCAGTCTATTTAACTAAATTGACCAAGCCACCATAAACTAAAGGGCGTCGAGGTTCAATGTTTCACAGAGACATAAAATTGTCCTGTACTCACAATGCATGAAATTCATATTACATTTATCAGTATAAATATATTTTATTTACAACAGTTGCACTCTATATACAAATATTTCTAAAGATAGCAAGAAAAAAGTGCATAGAACAATTTTTTTTTTGGCTTCTAGTGTCGTAGAATATACAGTCTAAAAGGTAATTTGGACCATAATCACAGCCATATTGTACATTTACTTGAACCAAGATCTGTACTATAGCTACCAAGACGTACATGCATCAAGTTGGGTCTGCTGGGGGGAGGGGAGAATTTAAATGATAAACGAGGAAGTCTACCTGCAAAAGCAGCAGCAGTGGTTTAAATAATCGCTATCTAGACTCCTTTTTCTTTGACAGCAACATAAAAAGTGTTTAGGGAGAAAGTCACACAAAGACCCGACGTTGTTTTGTCTTCAGCATTTCCTCTTCCTTGTTATCTGCAATTACTATCGTCAATTAATGAAATCGAGAAAGCAATTAAGTGACGGCACATTGAATATAGTCACTAGGTGCATTTTGCTGAGTGTTTACAAGATCTAGCGACACATTTTATCGCCACGCGTTCTAGTTTGATTAGTTTAGAAAATTAAACAGTTACTCTGTCGGCTCTCCGTCATTGCTATGAATCTGACATCGAATTTAGTCCAAAATATTAGTAAATTCAGAATTATTAGCTAAAACGTAAATTGCCCTAATTTGTCAGATAATCAAAAATGCCGGTGATCCACGCGGAGGGTACGCTTTCCTGAAGGTAGCGGCGACGAACGGCGACGATATTTTTCTGAATAGTGAACCTTTATTAGTTACGAAAAGCCCCCTTTTCAACAGGCGCGTTTTATTAATTACTTCATGTCACAAAGTTAATTTATACAGGCAAAACTTTATTCAAGGAAATAGTTTCACGAAATGAACGAGAGTAAAATATAAGTCGGCACAAATATAAGGCATACAACAATGAGTCATGTTATGGATCATGTTATGGGCCATGTCGGATTATAATGGCATACCTTGATGCAAAACAGTCTATCGTTTCTTCCACCGCGAGTCCCTTTATTTAATGTAATGTATTACTCATTACCCGTTTCATTTGACACTCTCTCTTTTTATCTCCCTTCCCCTTTCTCTTGTTAGAAGGAGGGTAAATAATTAAGCACTCAAAATCTGCACCACCAATCTTCAGAAAAACATAAGTCAACGAACCAGTGGGCTGATCCACAACATCCGACACAGCAGAATGAATCAAATAACAGCTAGCACAAATTTATATGCAGTTAGCTATAGTGTCACTACATACATAATCAGCTGCACGCGCGAAGCTGTTGAACAAAAGGATAGTTCGCTACGGGAGACCGTTTGTTTACATAAGTACTCTAAGGGGGCGTGGCTACCCAGGCGACCAGGGGATTAGGCTAGTTACTATATGCCGTCAACAATCGTTTAGCGACCCTATCATTATACACTCTCTCTATTGTATTTTCCACCGCATTAATCGCAGTGAAATCTTCAAATGGTTCAAGGGGTAAATGTACACATTCTTAGTCCTAGTACGGTATACATTTTACTTTCAGCTTTTAATGTAAAATTATGTGGCCCATGATGACGGCAAATATTTAATAGTCATGATGTATCCGTAAGTGTGCGCATTCACAAAAACACACGTTCACACACACAAACATATGAATTCAAGCACGTTCACACACGCACGCACACATGTGCGGATACACATAAAACACCACACAAACATGCAGCAAAAACTGTACCTGGGCTGGGTCCGACATCAACACTGGTAGCAGTAGACTCTGTACATATAGTCTGTGTAATTTCCTCTTCTGTTGATGATGAAGGACTCAGAAGCTGAGACTTCGCCACACGACTGAAATCTCCCATCGATGACTGGTTGTGTGGGGGATTTGAAGTCACTGTTTGAAAGAAATAAAATGGACAGAAGACTAAACATTTCATAGCATTATTAAAAATCGAGAAGCAAGTGCCTTTTTACAAAAACAAAACAGGGAAAAAGAAACTAGACTCAGTGTTCAGAAAAAAAATTAATTACAGGTATCTTGGTAGATGAATCGTAAACGAAACTTATCAAACACAAGCCGAAAATCTTTTATACCGTCAGCTTACGGCCAGCCTGGACGCAGGGCCGTAGCCTCCGGGGGGCAGGAGGGGCAGCTGCCCCCCTAGGATTTGAGGTGCAAAAAAAAAAAAATAATAATAATAATAATAATAATCGCAAAGGTAAAAAAAATTGTAAAGTTGGTATCAATTCTGTGAAAAAATGCACTCATGGCCACTAGACAATCATTCAACAATCTGTTTACAAAGGTGTACTGTTTTTAGCCAACTCAGTTCATGCCAAAAAGCTCATCCTCCCTTAGGCAGCTATCCCCCAGGCCAATTGGCGTGTTTTGTTAAAAATGACTGTACTTATGGCAAAATTAACCCACAATTTCTGACTTCTGATTGAGCAATAAATAACAGTTAAAATGCACCAGAATGCAGTTTTATATATAGAGTTTTAAATTTTTTTCCACACCGTGGGAGGGGGACCCCCCCCTTACTGCCCCCCTGGCATTTTGCTCAGGTTACGGCCCTGGGACGTATGCCTTCATCAGACAGATGTGAGATTTTATACCAACGGTATGCAAGATTTGCGGCTTGTGTTTGATAATTTTCTTTATTATAGCCTAAGTGTTGCTTTTACGGACATGTCTGTGCATGTGTGATCACTACAGAATCCACATTATTTGCACAGGGGAATTGAGATGAGAGGAGGGGTGGGCTCGGCTTTCGCATATGCAATATCGGGGGAGAATGCCTGGAGATTTCTGGGTGCCTTACTATGTTTTACAGTCATGAAAATATTTAAACAAACAAAATCTTGGAAATTGTTCGATATGAATGAGGTAAAAAATAAAAAAAAATTGAACCCCCATGGGATTAAAGTCTTTGCAGGTGTGACGAAGTTATTGGCTTGTCTTCGTCATGTTACGCGAGGTAGCAAATACAACTCAGATATTATCTTTCTTATTATTTATTGAACTACTGTCCAGTTATTACCCGCGCCGCTTCCTTCATTTCTATTTCTACCTCATGCAATCTCTAGCGGCCTTCTCTCTGTTTACACTAAGCGCAGTTGTATAAATACCATAAGAGCATGTCAATCAACTTAAGTTACTCTACTAAACACTCCCCGCTCTTATTCGCTGCATGCTGTCACTTACTAACGTTACATTATCTCCCGGGGACGATATGCCTGTCCCCAGGCATATTTTAAAATTAAAATATACATTAATTAAAAATAAACTTTCTTAAACACTGTATTTGTCTTTTATCATAAATTCATACAAAACAAAACTAAGTACATAGATTTTGTATTATAAACCTACGATAAGATAGAAATACGTTGGACATGAAACCCAAAATATAACTTAAAGGAAGATAGATTGACAACTCTTTAGAAAATATGATTTTCCGTGGATGTGCATTTACATGTTATAATGTGCGGCCCAAGAGTACAGATACTTTTAATAGTTTTCTCTGCGCAGATGTTTAAATCTGTTACTCTCTTATTATGGCTCTGACACATTTTCATATACGGTTTCTCTCTTTCGTTTGTCATTTTCGATATTGATGGAGTGCACTACGTGAGACAATAGGGCCGATCGCTCCCTGTCCAATGAACAGCAGTCACCACAACGTTGCGACCAGCGCATCGTTCATGATGAAGTACTTGTTCATCATCATATATATCCACACTGTAGCGCTCTCTGTTGATAGCTATAAGAGGAACAATCGTTTTATATCAAACCCAATCCACGATTGAACAAAAACATACCAAAAAAATAATTAAGTAAGAATCTTCCTTAATGCATATCATCAGTTTCACGTCTTCACCTTTATAAAAGTTAAGTGCACTGTTCCTATACCAATAACTGTACAGTTAAATATCAATAACTAATAACTATAAGACCGACAAACTGAACAAAGATGTATTATTAATACTAAAATTTAATATTCAACACAAAATACTTAATGTGTCGTTATAACAACATGCAATCATATATAACTCAAAGTTAACTCGTAAAATTTAAAGTTCATATCCACTCAAATGAAAAGTTCCATTTGGTATAGTCCGTTATATCCTCCATTTTTGAATTTTAGCACGAAAGTTCAGTTATCATATAATGTTAAATCCGTCCTTCTAGACAGTGCATAGCGATTGTCATCTGCCACTCATTGTATATGGATAAACGTCTTATTCGCGCACGTTGGCATACATGTAGATAAATGTCCACAGTTTCCTGTATATCCACGAATGTCCATGTCCTGCGTTTACGAATATATCCAAAATGAATGAAGTAGAAATGCATGTCAAGAAAAACTTAACTACGTATATTATAACAATCATCATCAAACCTGAATACATTCACGTTTAACAGGCAAGATTTTAACTTGCCATAGTATTATCCATCCAAAAGATTATGATAACAATAAAACATATATGGAACCATGCTAATAATACGATAATTTTTCCAACAATAATACTTATGCTAATAATAAAAATAATAATAACGCAATCTGGCGTCCCAGATGCTAATATTTATATGACGTCATCATTTCCATACCTCAACTCCACATATTCAGTTATCCATAACCACATTGATATATGTCACATATGAATCATATTATTCCTCACAATTTATCAAATAATATTCACATAAGGTCATCTATCCTTGCAACATTTATTCTCATTAACTCATTTGTTCC